ACAACTCATATTAGCATTAGACCAATATATGCAATAGAATAGTGGGGGGATGTTGGAATATTCACAAATGACAGCTGAACCAAAAGAATTCTAATCCCAGCTCTATAACCAAGCAGACAGGTCTTAACTTTCTAAAAGATGTTCTAGAGAAAGTTCTGGGCTCTTTTTTGTTGATAGAGAAACTGAAGCCCAGAAAGCGTAAAGGATTTGCCAAGGTCTCCCCGCCAGAAAATGCCAGAGCTTAGACTCAAACTATTTATATTGTTCTGATGCCAGGTCCTAAAGGGGTTTTCCCACCACGCCTGCTGCACCATGGCATTGAGTCACTTAGCCCTTGAATCCTCAATTATTTTGTCTTTAACCTTCTGAAAGGATTGGTGGATGTATCAGTCAGCTTTTGCTGTGTAGGAAACCACTCAGATCCTAGCAGCCTAAAATAATAGCCATTTTATGGAGCTTGTGACTCTGTGGTTGACCATGGCGGTCATCCTGGTGTGGACTGGCTCAGTAGGGCTCTGCTGGACTCTCACGCTTCTGTGACCAGCTGGTGAGTCTGGCATCATCTAGCATAGCCCGATTCATCGTTCTGGTGGTTGACAGAGCCTTGGCTGGGGATTGATTGGCTGCTCGCCAACTGGAGCACCTCATTTTCCTTCATAAAGCATTTGATCCTTCAGCAGGCTGGCTCAGACTTGTACACATGGTGGTCTCGGGGTTCCAACACAGAAGGAAAGGGCAAATCTCAATGAGAGTCCTCTTTGCAAAGCTTTACTATACCATCTTTGCTATTCTGTCATTGGCTGAAGCAAGTCACATGGCGTAGCAGGCAGTTTCTGCAATGGCTCTCAGCGATTCCCGCCTTCTGGCATTCCTGCCCTCGTGTCATCTTCTCCTTGTGCGTGGAGCTGGACCTAGCGACTTGCTTCTAATGAGTAGACTGTGACAAGATTGTGGGAACATCACTCCTGAGAGTAGGTTATAAAGGATTGTGGTGCTCTCTCTGACTCTTCTTAAAGACGTACTCACTCTGCTAATGCAAGCTGCCATGTGTGGACTGTCCTGTGGAAAGGGCCATGGGGAGCCAATCAACGGCGAAAAACAACCGTCTTTTGAGGAACGGAATCTTGCTAAAAAGCTGTGAGTGAGTGAGCTTGGAAGCAGACCCTTCCCTGGTCGAACCTGTGGATGAGAAAGCAGCCTTGGCCCATGTCTTCATTGTAGCTTTGTGAGAGCCTTCGAAGCTGAAGACCTGCTGACGTTACATCTGGGGTCCTAACTCCCAGAAACTGTGTGTTGTTTTAATTTGGGAGTGATTTGTTACAGACCAATAGGTAACTAATACACACAGCTAAGCTCAGAGTCAGTGTGGAAGGTGACTATCCAGGGACAGCGATAGGAAATGTAATTATATGAATTATTTATACACACTTGCAAACAATTTACCAAAGATGAATCTCTCCCAGGCTTTTAGAAACTGAGAGGAAACTATTTTCACTATTTCAACAATTATTTATCCTCTGTGCTAAATATTGAAAACAAGATGGCAGCCTTCCTGTCCTCAAAGAGGGTATAGCTTGTGTTGGGGAAGGGAGATGGGGAAAGACATTAATTGAAGAATTCCTTCTTTAATTACGTTTAAAATTGGGATAAGCGACCTGAATGGAGAGTGTGTATAACTTAGTTTGGACCGGTCAGAGAAAGATTATTTGAGGAAGTAATAATCTTAAGCTGAAGAGGTAGTTGGGGAAGTCAGGGCCAGTGTCAGGGGGAATGTTCCAGGCAGAGGGAGTAGCATTCTTTTTTTTTTTTAATGAAACAGTCTCACTCTGTCATCCAGGCTGGAGTGCAATGGTGCGATCTCAGCTTACTGCAACCTCCACCTCCTGGGTTCAGGTGGTTCTCCTGCCTCAGCCTCCTGAGTAGCTGGGATTACAGGCACACACCACCATGCCCAGCTAAGTTTTCTATTTTTAGTAGAGACGGGGTTTCACCATGTTGGCCACGCTGGTCTCAAACACCTGACTTCAGGTGATCCACCCACCTTGGCCTCCCAAAGTGCTGGGATTATAGGCATGAGCCACCACACCTAGCCAGAAATAGCATCGTTGAAGGGGACCTGGAGAAGTGGTCAGCAGCTATGAGACAAGTTCATATTTATGATCAAATTACATGCTATTATGCTATTATTGTGGGTTAGAGTTTTAAAATTTTCCTTTAGAGATATACACCAAAATATTTATAGATAAAACGATTTGATGTTTGAGATTTGCTTCAAAATAATCCAGTGGATAGTTTGGGGGCCTGGAGTGGGGGGAGGTGTAAATGAAACAAGGTTTTCTAAATGAGTTCAGACTAGTTGAAACTGGGTGATGGGTACATGGGGGAGGTTATACTCATCTCTCTGTTTGTGTATTTTGTAATGTTTCATAATAAAAATTTTAAAAATTGGATCCCAACAACACATCCCGAAAGCTGTGTGTGTATGAGAGGTCACAGCAATTACCTCCTCCTCCTCCACACCAGACAGAAGTCAATACCATCTTTAGGGCAAGGAGATGGAATGAGTTTTGTGGTGCAGAAAACATAAAGGCTTCTCAACTTCAAATCATGTGGCCACCCTAAAATAAGGTGTTTGGATAATTTATCTTGCCTCCCAGCTAATGTGCTATATTGCATTCTTTCTCATGCTCATTTTTTTTTACTAGCTGAAATGCTGTGTTTCATATATTGTGGAATCTTACCACATGGTTCACCCTAGGGTCAAAGCCAGGGGAAGGATCCCGTTCAAGTATTAGTTACTGAAATACAGAGAGGACGCTGTTATAAGGCTTTCTGGGATACGGGTAGAGTGAGTTTATAGGTTGGAGAAAGAGAAAAAGAGGGTAGAACAGATGGAAAGTCCCATTTGTTTGAAAAATTCTTGGTCGGCTTGCTGCAGTAATAATGGAGTATGGATTTCCTTGATTAAGATTTCTCTGCCTTTTACTTATGTTATTCTGAGGTAGGTCAGACTGTGAAGGTAGCAGCAGGGGGCATAGATTTTATGTCAGAGACGTATTCCTTTAGGATTTTTTTGAGGTAGGGGGGCAGTTGGGTGGGAGCTGATGAGATGACGCTTCATGTTTGCAACTGTTTCAATGTCAGGTTAATGGGGAAACTACAGTTTGTGATTTTGATTCAGACCTTTCTGGAAAAGACTTTTGCTGCCAAATTGAGTCTCTCCCCAACCCCTAAAAAATGAAGATTTCACTAGAGTCAGATATATGCAAATTACATTTCCCTTCTCAAGCCAAGGTTAAATAAAAGGGAAAATTATGAAAGATTGCTTATGGCAGCAAGGATGTTCAGCGCTTGAGGATGAATTTGGTTATTTCAAAACCATGATGAGTCTGTCGTCAGTGCAAAGCAGGAAGGGCATAAAGGAGAAGGTGGACCGGGGCATGAACATTCCCACGCAGTGTTTGTGCTGAAAGCCTTGTTCCTTGAACAAGCTTTTTTCTGTGCTGTGCAAAACGTTTGGCAAATAAGGAGGGGGCGTCGCCTCCTTTTCTGTGTTCAAGGCTGGGTTCTGGCCTTGTTGCAGGGAAACACTCGTTCCCAGCAGTGCGCCCGGGGAGCAAATGGTTTGTTTTCTCTTCGCTGAATCCAGCCTGGGGTCAGATCTCAGCAGTAGAGCCTGGCATGGAAAATCTATTTGGAGCAACTTGTCCCCAGGAGGGAAGAGGGCAAGTCGGCTGTGCGGGGAAGCCGCGGTCACCCCGGGGTCAGCCACACGGGCCGGCCAGGGCAGGCACTGACACACAAAGGCAGAGTCCTCCGCAAACACGAGTCCCGTTTGTGTGCCCACTCACCCCTGCGTACCACACACCCTCGATCCCTATACACCACGCACACACACACGCCGCACTGCCACACCCCCACCACACACACCGAATACTCATATGACCAAGCATACCCACCCCCACACCACGTGCACAGGCACATGCATGCCCAGCTACACACACACACACACACCCGCACACCACACACACTCAACCACATAAACGCCCACATTCCACTTGGGTTACAACCACCACGTCACACACACACGTGTACACACACCTCAGCAGTCACTGGTGTCACGCATACCACTCACCATGCACCAGGAACGCACCCGGCCACACACCGAGCACACACGCATCCCCACCACATACCCAAAGAATCACACACACGCCCGCGGCACACACATCCCGTGCACGCCAAGCTACACACACGCAGACACACGCACGTCCCTGCTCCCGGGTCGGTGGCTTTCCCGCCCAACGGAGGCGGGGGTGGGGTGGGGGGGGAAGGGGAGGCGCCGCAGCCCCGGCCGAGGTTGGGGAGGGAGCGGGAAGGGCGGGAGCGGGAAGGCCGGGGCGGGCGGGCCCGGGTTCAGGGCGAGGCGGGCAGGGCTGGCGGCGCTCAGGAGGGAGGCCGGCCCGGGGGGGTGTGTGGGGCGCGCGCGTGTGCACGGGCGTGTGCGCGCCTCCTGGGGGCTTCGTGCCCAGACCGGGGAGGTGTGTACGCGGGAGACGTGAGGCGCGTGGGGCGAGGCCGTGTGTGTGTGTGTGTGTGTGTGTGTGTGTGTGTGTGTGTGAGTCTCGCTCCGCGATGTGCCGGGCCCGCGCCACCCGGAGGTTCGAGTGGGCGTGAGCCGGGAGTGCGCTGCCCCCCGTGGAGCGTGCGGACGCGCGTGTCGGTCCTCGGCGGCCAGCGCCACCTGCGGGGAAGCGCCTCTCGGGTCCAAAGCGGCCGAGGCGTGTGTGTTCACCACGGCCCCCCGTGGCGGGTGTGTGAGGAGGACCTGGCTGCGATGGGCGGGGACGCCCGCGGCCGCGTTCCCCGGCCGGGTGGGGGTGAGGACGCCGGCTCGCTGAGGAACGCCGCGCGGGGCCGGCCGGCGCGCGCCTGTGCGCGTGCGTGTGCGCGTGTGGCGCGGGCGGCGCGCGCAGCGGCGGAGCTAGGGAGCGAGGGAGCGAGGGAGCGAGGGAGCGAGCGAGGGAGGGAGGGAGGCGGCAGGCCCGGCCCCGGTCGCAGCGCCCGGGGCGGCTCCTCCTCGAGCCTGGGACCGCCGCGCTCCCGCCGCCGCGCGCTGGCGTGACTCCCGGCCCGCGCCGCGCCCTCCCGCGTCCGCACCCCACTCGGCTACCTGCCCGCCCAGACGTCGCTTCTCCCGGGCTCCCGGTGTCGGCTCCGCGCGGAGAGAGAGGAAATGAGTGCGGCGGCCTCGCCGGCGCCCGAGCGGGGTTGGAAGAGCGAGAAACTCGACGAGGCTCAGGCCCTGGCGCGGAGTTGCGCCGCCCGCCGACCCGACTTCCAGCCGTGCGACGGGCTGTCCATCTGTGCCACGCACAGCCATGGCAAGTGCTTCAAGCTGCACTGGTGCTGTCACCTAGGATGGTGTCACTGTAAGTGGAGCCGCGTCTTCCCGCCTTCCGCCGCGGTCGGGGTGGGGGTGTCGGCCGCCGGGCCGTCCGGGCTCGGCCGGGACTGCGCGGCCGCGGGGGCTCCGGGCTCGGCCGCGGGCTGGGGCCGCCCTGGGCTCGGGGCCAGCCGGAGCTTGCCTCGCGCCGGACGGGTTGGCGCTGCCTTGGCGACGAGATGAAATCCCGTGGCGCGCCTCTTTCTTTACCTACTTCTACAAAAGGGAGCTTCCTGCCCCTGGGAAGCGGGAGTCTGGTTTTTTTCTTTTTCTTTCTGTGTGTGTGTGTTTTTAACCGAAGCGTCCAGGCAGCGTGTTGAGAAATGGGGAGAGCCAGCAGACAGCCGTAGGGGAAGCCCTTTTTTCAAGGCTGCTGGTTAAAGATGCTTCTCTTCTCGCTCACTTTTGTCTTCCTGGGCTGCTATTTAAAAGAAAGAGCCCTTGGAAATCCAGTTGTTTCCCGTTTATTGTACAGAAATGGAGAAAAAGCGCTAATGTGGGAAGGTTTGCTTCCAAGAAGTTAATATTAACAGTTTGGAAGGTCGAGCTCCTTCAATACCCAGATGTACCATTTAAAGCCAATTAATGACACTTACAGAATTACAAAATGAAATGAATGAAAGTAAGCTTAATAATCTTAAACCAGTTTATAAAAGCCAGAACCACATGGTCTAAACCTTTTCTCTGTGTTTATCCTCCTTCCTGTGATTTTTAAATAGATTAAACTTAAGTAGCCATTTAATTAGAATTTCACAATTTGATTAGCTAATAGTATTTGGACGAGTATATTGGATGAATCATTCCTTTTAAGAAATATATTCTAAAGTTAGTTTCCACATAAATTTATAATAGAGGGTGCTGGAGTGCTTATTTAGGACATTTTCCAAGTGAGCTTAAGTTAAAGCGATTTTTTTCTTTGTTGAGTAGAAAAAAATAGCTGGCAACAGGAATGCAATTTGTCACAAACCCTTATTTAAAGTAATAAAACATAAATGGATATTTAAATCGAATTTACGAATTAAAGGATAGAAATTTACAAATTCCAGGCACATGGAACAGGATTGATTTTTGGTGTTCCATCTGCTGATGGGTCAGTGTCTTCCTATTTCTCATTATTTCTATTGTGCTCAGATCGGTTCTCGTTTATTAATATAAAGCATTGCTTCAGGGTGGGACACGGTACCGAGTTGGAAGTAGCAACTTTAGAAAACCTGGGATTCTGAAATGCCCAAGTAGAAAGAATCTGGACTTTCATTCATTTCCTGGGAAAGCATAGAATCGTTGTGTAGAATGCGAGGAATATTCAAGATAGTCCAGGTTACTGTCTGTCTTATTTTGACAGTGTCTTCTCTAAGTACACCGTTACTGATGGGAACCTGGCAGTCTTCTCAGACAGCTTTTCCCTTCATTAGCCTTGACTCTTAAAATACTCTTCCTTATATGGAGCTGAAATTAGTTACTTTCTAACTTCTTTCTTCTGCTCCTATTTCTGCCTTATGAAATCATATAGAACAATCGAATCCTTTTTTAGATCATGGTTGTTTCCACTCTTCATATATACATATCTGAATACACATATGAATTTCTCACGCATTTGGACTCTGTTCTCTGTGTATCCCTGGCCATCCCCACAGTGTCTTTCCTGAAATAGGTTTGACAATAATGTTCCTTGAATGACTGAATGAAGATGGTGATCATATCTTTCTCTTAAGGCGTTGCTTTGTCCTATTTATACATTTCCAGTCCCTTCTGCCTTTCGTTTTGTGGAATAATATCCAGGCTCCTAAGCATCTTTGGAACATGTGCCAAGGTGGTTTTGATCCTTTGAAGACTGTGGCCCCTAGAAAGGCAGACAGTATTCCAGTTGTGGTCTCAGCAGTCTAAAGTTGAACAAGACCATTACCTCCAATGTTCGAGATACTACTACTGCTGCAGCTAGCATCACATTAGCTTTTCTGATATCTTCATCACACACTGAGCTTGCTGCTGTCAGATTGAGCTAAGCTTGCCATCAAAGACATTGAGCTGTGTTTTTTTTAAACATATGTGACAAGCCACTGTTTGCCCGTCTCACAGTTACATATATATTTTTGGACACAGGTACTAACCCCTTAGATATCTTTTTCTATTAAATTTCATTTTATTAGAATTAGCTTTTTTTTTTTTTCTGTATGTTTTTAGATTCTGGCTTTTTCGTAATATGTTTATAAGCTGTCTCCTAGGTTCATGTTGACATATTGGATACCAACAGGACTACAGTACATCTTCATTAAAGTTATTGATAAAATTGTTGAACAAGAGTAAGCCACAGAGTCCTGAAGCTTGCTGGCAGAACCGACCTTCAGGTTGATAGCAGTTCATTGATGAGCACTTGTTAGGATTGTTGAAACAATTACCTAGCCACCCAGTTGCACTGTTATCCATCTTCTATTTAGCTTGTATATGGGTGTCATGGAAACCTGGTCAAATACTTTGTGGAAGTCCTACCAACACATGTTTTTACTGCCTCTTTTTGATCTGTGACCTATCTATACATACACTTGTAAAAAAAAAAAAAAAAAAAAAAAGAAGAAGAAATTAGATTAATCTGGTAAAACTCAGGTTCAGGCGTCCCCAAACTACAGGCCGCATGCAACCCCCTGAGGCCATTTAGTCTGGCCCCCTGCCGCACTTCAGGAAGGGGCACCTCTTTCATTGGTGGTCAGTGAGAGGAGCACAGTATGTGGTGGTCCTCCAACGGTCTGAGGGACAGTAAACTGGCCCCCTTTGTAAAAAGTTTGGGGACACCTGCTCAGGTTGATTTCACAAATGGTTACCATTTTCTTTTCTAAATGGTTAGAAACTGTTTTTAAATAAATAATCTGAATTTAGAAAAGGATTGACGTCAAGTATACTGGACTGTCGTTGGCAGTTGTTTCTGTTTTTTAAAAAATCAGAACTACAGTTATTTGTTCTTTTCCAGTCTTTGGCAATCCTCCGGTTTCCACACTTCCTCCACTGGCAGCAGCTCAGTGATCTCATTCACGAAAAGCTTGACTTCATTTAAAGCAGCTAGGTGTTCAGTTACAGTCTCCTCAGTTGTACTGGCCATTCATTCTCTCTACCCTTTTTAGCCCAAAATAAGCAGAGTTAACATATTTGAGAAGTTCTCTCTCTCTCTCTCTCTCTCTCTCTCTCTCTCTTTTTTGGTATTCATGAAGTTTACAGTATCAGTCCTAAGCCTAATTCCTTTAATTCTGTTAAACATATATTGAGCACCTTCTCTTTATGAGACATTATTATGGAAACTCAGAATATAAATGTGAATACAGCTGGATTGTACTGGAACCCGTATGGACCATTATGGACCTGATACGCAGAGTGTAAGGACATAATCATAGTGTATTTACTTTTTTTTTTGAGATAGAGTTTCGCTTTTGTTGCCCAGGCTGGAGTGCAATCTTGGCTCACTCCACCTCTCAGGTTCAAGTGATTCTCCTGCCTCAGCCTCCCAAGTAGCTGGGATTACAGGCATGTGCTACCATTCTCAGCTAATTTTGTATTTTTAGTAGAGACAGGGTTTCACCATGTTGGCCAGGCTGGTCTTGAACTAGTGACCTCAGGTGATGCCCTCACCTCGGCCTCCCAAAGGGCTGGGATTACATCCATGAGCCACTGCGCCCGACCCATACTATGTTTACTTTTGTAGATCTTTTAATATCACAAATGATTGAGGTGAGAAAACTTCAGTTTGTTTGCCAAATCTGAGAATACTAAAATGAGAGGATTATCCTAATGCTTAAAAAAGGTAGAATCAAAACAAAGGAAGTTCAGTTTTATGTGGTTGATTTTAATCTTGTGAAATGTATAAACTTATAGAAAAGGATTAAAAATATGTACATGTTTATAAAAGATGTAAAGCATGTTCACAGATTCAGTGCTTGATGCATTATTAAAGGAAATGACTAGTGTATTTGGGTAATTGCACATTTCTGAGCATGTTGTCTGGGAGGAAAGCATCATATGTTCTGTTGGTGTCACTGTCAAAGATAGATTATTAAGCTGAATAAACCACGACTGAATTCATTTTCTTCAGTAAGGAGTGATATTGGGTTGAATTAATGAGTGAAGGTTTTCAAGAGGTGTCTTGAGAGAGAAAAAAATACATGGCTTGGTTAGAGAAGAGGGATGGGAAAGAAATCATGTAGGTATTGTAAAGTAGAATTTTGTGGCTACTTAGAATACTTAGAATAAGAAATTAGGTTGGTGGAGGTGGAGATAAGTCAGTGTGTTGGAGAGATATTTCAGGTGAAATCTGTAGGGTTGATTAGATTTGGTCGGGGAGGGTGAGGAAGATCATTAAGGTTAACGTCTAAAATTCTGCTTTATGCAGCTGTGGATGGTGGTGCCATTCACTAACAACAGTAAAATACTGGGTGACTAGGATTGGAGGAAAGTCATGAATCTAGTTTTGGATCTATTGAGTTTAAGCTTCCTTTGTCCTCACATAGTGATGTTAGTAGGCAGTTAGATATAGGGATGTAGAACTCAGAGGAGAGGTCTGGGCTAGACATAGTAAGGAAGTAGTTTACTTACTTACAGGTTGCAGTTGTAGCAGTGATGAAGCATGGGCACCAGGGGAGAGACTAGCATAAGAAGTAAAGAAAAGCACTAAGCTTTCCCTTTAGAACACCAGATTGTTTTCTTTTAGAATATCAGAGTCTGGGTACAAGAGGATAAGCAGGCAGAGGAGTCTAAGAAGAGATGACTAGAGAAGAAAAATCTGGAAAATACGATATGGCAGAAGCTAAGGGAAATTACCGTTCTAAGAAAGAGTACGAAGATGAAACCGGTTTTCAGCAGGCTAATTATTAGATATTGGTGAAATACAAAAATAGGGATTTTCATTACTATGGAGAAGAGGGTGAAAGGTTTAGTCTTGCAACAGTGACTTCAGGAATATACTTAATTCAAGCATTAGTCAAAGCTGTTTGAGGCTCTTCCAGG